TGATCTCGCATTTCTATAAGGCAGTCTACCATAGATGATATTGTGAATCGAAAAAATTTGTGTTGCGGTCGCACGATTAATTTAATGTTAAAGCCAATGGGAATGATCTGACTCATTTCTACCCGACGAGTCTCCTCGGATAGCTGACTTTTTCCGGATGAATCGCGAGTTTGTTATTTTCCTTGATCGCGGTTGCGGACTGTTCGTCCGACAATCTCGTTTCGGCGACTTCGTCCAGAACCTCGACGACGCCACACAGGACACAGGACACAGGACAGACGTCGCCGACCCGGCGACGCGCGACGCCGAGGGCCGCGGCGACACGTGTCTTCGAGGAGCGGCGACCTGTCATTTCGAGCGGACGTTGGCGCGATTGTATCGTGATTATAAAGCAGCCGTCGCGTCGGAGTAGTCGCGTAAATGATGGGGTGATCGATATTAACCCTTTGCCTTACAACCACGTCTGAGAGACGTGGTCAGATAATCGTGATAATGATTATCACGTCTGAGAGACGTGGTCAAATAATCGGGCCAGAAATGATTATCACGTCTGAGAGACGTGGTCAAAAAATCGGACCAGAAACGATTATCGCGTCTGAGAGACGTGGTCAGATAATCGGGCCAGAAACGATTATCACGTCTGAGAGACGTGGTCAAAATATCGGGCTAAAAATGATTATCACGTCTGAGAGACGTGGTCAAAAAATCGGGCCAGAAACGAATATCACGTCTGAGAGACGTGGTTAAAAGATTGGGCCAGAAACGATTATCACGTCTGAGAGACGTAATAAAAATATCGAACCAGAAATGAGAGGCGTGATGCGTCATTTGGGCCAAATATAAATATAACTAGTTAGGCTCGTGTTAGACTAGGAGATACGTGTTTTGTGTATTTTTTTGTTTTTCGTCATTTAATTGTTTTATTAGTAGCTAAAAGAGGTGGCGCAGGAACCAGCTAGTCGCGTGCTGCAATGTTTGCGATCTTTAATTATTTACAGCTCATAACGAAGATCAATCGATTTCGGTGAAATTTTTAAAACAAATTTTTTAGATTTTCGTTGCAGGCTCAGACAGAAAAGTTAAAAAGCAAGAGTTTTTCATTTTCTTTCATCATTCTAGGCAATAGCAACCTTTTAAACAAGCATTCTAGTTACGGTCTAGTAGACTGGTCGCTCTATCGTCTAAAAAGAAAATTCAAGTCGTTTAGTCCAGTTCTAAAAGAGTTATTGCGTTCTGAAAAGTGTCCGAATATTAACGGGATATTAACGGAATGTATAATGTATTTACATTTTCCGTAAGAAGTTCGCGATTGGCTCAACTTCAGACGTTTCGCGCAACCGTGAAAGGGCTCGACAGGTGGCCACCGATCTTGTTGTTGCTTGTGGCACGCGTTCTCGAGGCAATATATCGTAGGGCAAAAGGTTAAAGGGTTTAAAGACTCTTCGCTGCCCGAGAGCGATACCGTTTTCACTTGCAAATTCGCTGGCGTGCTCCGCGTTCCGGTCTAACCCAGACCTAGGCCTGCCGCATTCTACGGAGGTCGATAACGAGAACGCTTATTTCCATTGCAAATGATCATATGCATGTATACCTGTATTTCGTCAGCCTCCTTCTGCACGCTGGCGACGGACTTTCCGCGCAGCCTGGCCAAAGCGGCGACAGCCTGTTCCCTCTTGCCGGCCTTCAGGAGGAAGAACGGGGACTCCGGCATGGTCACGAAAGCGGCGAAGAAGATGATCGGATGGATGGCGCACAGGATCCAGAACACCGTGTAAGAGACGTACGGGCCGATCACGTACGAGTATAGCAGGCCGATAGTGATGAACAGCTGCAGGAACGATCCCAGGGCACCTCTGACGGAGATCTAGCGGACGGGAACACCGCGATTAATGCGATTCTATTCTCGATCGAAATCGACCGGTTTCCCCGAGACGCGACAACGATCTTTACCTCGGCGATTTCTCCGCAGTACATGGGAACGACCGTGAAGGTGAAAGACATGGCGAACCCGAGGACAACTCGAGCCGCGTACAACATCGGCACTGCCGAGGCTGCTGCGATTAGGGCCCATCCGATCAGGAACAGCACCGTGGAGCAAAGGAGCGATAGTTTTCTGCCGATTCTAGATTCAACAATCGAGCAAGCCCTGCTGGTTAGCGTGAGAGCTAAGAGTGGAAGGGAAATTTCGTTTCGGAGCAATCAATCTCAATTTCTTCGTGACACGCGAGGCATGAACGCCTCGTCGAGGTTCGCCCAGCTTCGAATTGAACGCGAGCCTTTTGCGGAACGCGTCGTTTGCTTCATTGAACATGTACAGGGTGTCCCAAGATTACGGTACTTCCAGCAAATGAGGCGTTCCTCGGGTCATTTGGAGCAACTTTTTCCTTAGCGAAAATGCGATCTGCCGTTTCGTTCACGAGTTATCAACGAAAAACAATGACCAATGAGAGGCGAGAACATCAGGCGCGTGGGCGTCCAGACCGCTCGTTGGCTCGGCCGCCTCGCGCCAGCCGATCTCGCTGATCTCATTGGTCACTGTTTTTCGTAAATAACTCGCAAACGAAGCCACGGATCGCATTTTCGCCGAGGAAAAAGTTTCTTCGAATGACCTCAGGAATCACCCTATTCCAGGTGTTCACATAATTATGGAATACCCTGTAGATTTCGATAGGTCGAAGCGAGCCTACCGAGCCCTAGAAGAGCCAAGGGTTTATCGGAATTCGCCCTCACCAAGGTGACGATCTCTCCGTTACCGGAGAAGATCAGCAGCAACCGGACCTCTCATTGGTCAGTGTTTCTCATTAATAACTCGTAAACAAAGCCGCGGATTGCATTTTCGTTGAGGAAAAATTTGCTTCATATGATCTCGGGAATCTCTCGTTTCCCAGAGATACCATAATTTTGGGACACCCCGCATATTATGATAAAACTCGTTAAAAATCCGAGATTAGATTATTTTCACGAAGCAATCGGAAGCAGCTGCTATTAGTGTTCCGTAAACGTAACGTTAACGAGGTTCCGTTACCTGTCTGCTAGGTATCCAGCCACGAAACAACCAAATAACGCTCCAACGGCCAACAACGATCCAATCCACGAGCTCTCGTCCTGGCTGATCAGCCTTCCGAGAGGATTATCCTTCAAATCCTTCCCCAGCCTCGGAAGCACAGGACTCGTCCATCCCATCATGGCGCCCGTCGCTAAGGTGCACATATTCGCTGGAATCATAATGAAACGTTCGGCTGTGACATGGTCCGACAACAACGCGGCGGAATAATTTCGCGACGCTCAGTAACGAACGCGAAACGATATCGATGGGAGAAGACGAAGCGCAGATAAACCTAATCGTCAATTTTTCCACTACGACCGACTCAAATTGCTTATCGCGCGGGACGCGTATTAAGAGCTCGTCGCCCGCTTCATCGATGCATTACATAATTGGAGACCGATAATGGCGACTAGAGCCACCACGGACTGTCGCTCGTTTTTCCGAGGCGACCGAGAGGATGTTACGGCATTCTGTCCCCCGGCAAGACGAGCCGCGAACACCGGATCCATCTGCTTCGCGCCGCTCGTCATCTTCCGAGACTCTGTTATTATTTTTTTCCTCTCGCCGATCGTGCCGACGCGACACGCCAGGACGAGGTACATAATTGGATTGCTTAAATGTTAACCCTTAGCGCTCCGAAGGCTCCGCTACGGAGACATTTATCATTTGTTCAGTAACTCCGAAGGCTCCGCTGCGGAGCCAAATGTTTTTACCATACGTTATCGTCGGCGTTAGCAATTGTTATCTGTAGTTAAAACGTGCTAAGTCTGTACCATTACGATTAAACTATTTTTTGACCTTTTCTATGGTTAGCAACATGGAGACAAATAAATATTACGATGAGAATTTAGAGCCGAGAGTGATACCGAAGACGCATTTGATTTTGAAGAGTTAAAAGACATTGTGGAAGACAATGTTGGTTATGATTCTGACACTTCGAGTAGTAGTAGCGAAATTATACTATTAAAGAGACGAAGAATGAGAATTATTGAAAGTGAAAGCGAAGATTCGTTACAAGACTTAGACGAATGGCGTGATGTTACGGAGGAATTAGATATTCCAGATAGAATACCTTTTAGTGTATTGCTACATATTTTAAATTATTTTTCACGGACGAATTGGTAAATGAAATTATAAAGGAAACCAACAATTACGCGGAAAAT